AAGAAATAAGGTCCAGTGTCATCAATGCTAGCTGCTCTTTACTTTCCTTGGAAAGTTTCTACTGTAAATAAGCAAGTAAGCAAGCAGAGGTAACCATAATAATAAATAATTGCAATTTCCACTACTGTAATGTTGTAATATCTGTGTGTATATAATATGTATATTAAATATACATATATACATATATCATATATATGATATATTCATATATATCAGAAAAAAAACTGATGGCATTGAAAAATAATAAAAAACCTACATAAAGCTGTAAAAAAATTATCACTAGTCAAAGTTAATAATCAGTAAGTTCTGGCAAAGTTCACAAAATGGACCCCAAAAATGACAATAAAAATCCAACTGTTTTGATCACAAGGGCATGTTTCCTCCTTTCCTAGTGATAAAAGCAGGTTGTTATTTAAACAAGCAGTCGCAAAAGGAGTTTTTATTAATACTAAAATAAGGAGAAACATGTGGGCCAACTGAAGGGCTTTGTTTAAATCTTTGGTCAATTTTTTGTAAATGAATTTAACTGTACCAATCCCAAATGTCAAATAATTTCAGAAAATGAACTACAATATTCTAGGCCAGCACTATGCACTAGAAAAACGATGGAAGCCCTACATGTGTTTTAAGTTTAGAAACCAGGTGAAATTGATTTTAATAAATTTTATTAACACAATATATCCAAAATATTTCGGCATGTAATCAATATTAATAAGGTATCTGTCTTTTTTCATACTATGGTTTCAAAATCTCCTGTGTATTTTATACTTATAGCACATCTCAATTTGGAGTGTTACATTTCAAGTGCTCATTAGCCACATGTATTGAGCAGCTATATTAGACAGTAGGTCTAAACTAACCATTTCATTCTGTGGATGAAGATAACGAACTACAAAGAGGTTAAGGAACTTGGTAAACTGATGAGCCAGGCCTAGAATTCTTATTTCCTAACTCCCAGGTTGAATGTTCTTTCCACTTGATCAGACTGTCGTCAGCCCTGTTTATACCCAGGAGACACAGGAGAGTATCAAATGATGTCAGGCCAAGGACGCCTGGGATGGAGGTAACTGTCAGGAGACCACATGAAACCAGAGCTCACTGTCAAAAGAACATGTACAGCTGAGCCAAAAGGTGCCCAACAGCAATTCAATAGAACAGACACCATCTCCATCAATAAGCCTGAATATTTTGTTGTGACAAATCCAGCAATGTTACATATTGACAAATGTATATGATTACTGGTGACTAAGTTAACCATGATCAGAATAGTGGCTGAGAAAATAGACCAGCATACACAAATTAAAAGGTATTGAAGAATTCAGGCTTGCATGAAGCTTGAAGGAATTCCCTAGACCCCCAATCTCTACTTTGTTGGTAATCATTAAGAAGTAATCTGCGGGGTCGGCCGATTGGCGCGATGGTTAAGAACTGGCTTGGGACGCCAGAGGGCCCCGGTTCGGATCCCACATATGAGGGCCAGTGACACTGCCCTCCACAGCTAAGATGTTGAACAACAGCTCAACCTGGAGCTGGGCTGCCGTCAGTCGCTGGCAATGGGTTGCCATGGGCTACCGTGTGTAGCCAGCAGCCGCAGTGAGCAGCCGTCCAGAAGCCAACGACTGATCTGCCTCGCCCGGGAAGAGCGCAATGATGGTGCCAACTTGGGCCAGTGAAGCAACGTCCTCCACCACTAGATTGAAGAACAAAACAACAGCAACTTGTCTGTTCCCCTTCTCCCAATTCCCCAGCACTATTCCCATTCCCCAATTCCCCAATAAAAATCTTTAAAAAAAAAAAAAGAAGTAATCTGCACGAAAGATGCCTACAACTTGCTTAAAAGACTGGCAAATAAAGGGGAGCGGGAGGGGTGGTGGCAAATGTTAATAATTCTTAAAGCCACTTGATGGTTAGAAGGTGATTTATTGAACTATTCTTTTTACTTTACATATGGTTTGGAACTTTCCAAATAAAAAGTTTTTTTAAAGGGGATGAGGGACAGGTGGGTAACTAGACTAGTCAGCGGGATCACTTCTTAAATTACATAAATGATTAACCACTATGTGTACATAAAATAATATTGAACGTCAAGGGCCGGCCGAGTGGCTCAGTTGGTTAAGAGCTCGCTCAAGAGTGTGAGCTATGAGCAACAGCGGTTCAAGTCCAGCCCGAGCTGAGCTGCCGCTGAGCTGCCAAAAGGTGGCAGGATGGCTCAGCTAAAAAAGTAAATAAATAAATAAATAAAAATAAAAAATAAGTAAAATAATATTGAATGTCAAAATAAAAAAATAAATTCTAAAAAGAGAATTGAAAAAATTAATATACATGAACATGATAGCATGAGATAGTGGTAAGAAATGTTTGAAATCATATTTCAAAACATTTACCTTTGCACTGTAAAAGAAAAAGGGGAAAAGTATTTTTAAAACACCTACAAACCCCCAAACCCTGAGAAAATCACTGTCAGAAACTCAACATACATCCTTCAGGTCTTCTCCTGTTTATACGTCATATTTTCTGAGCTAAGACAATGAGATGACACTCATGATGCTGTTCCTACATGTGGGAATGACCACCTTCCATGTAGTTCTCCAGAGGGTGACCCTCTGAGGGTTGGGTATGTGACAGGCACTACGCCTATCAGATCCCCTCCTCCGGAGTTTAAATCCTGAATGATACTCACAGGGACGGGGGCCCTTAAAACAGATTTCCCCCGGCAGGGCAGAAGGCCCAGGAATTCCTGAAACCGGTTCCCCTTTGTTTTCAGCTTCCGGGAGCTACCAGTCCCCTTCTTATAAACACTGTTTTCTTAGTTACACTATGCAGAATTCCTATTTGTTGTTTGACGTGAAAGAACCAGAAGAGTGCTGTAATACTAACAAGAAAACCTTATAATAATGCATTAATTTGCCAGGCACTGCTCTACAATTTTTACATGTGTTATCTCATTTCATCTTCACAACAATCCTAAGAGGTGGATACTATTATTAACTCCATTTTTGAATGGAAACTACTGAGGTCCAGGCAGATTAAACAGGATTCTCCAACTCAGAGCTACCAGTTGTAGAGCCAGAATTTGAACTTGGGCTGGCGGGTACTGTAATTTCTAAATTATAAAACTTCGAATTAAGCTGCTTTACGACCGGCTTTTTCATTAGTAATATATGAAGAATGTCGTTCCATGTTGGACAATGCATCTTTTTTAATGGCCGTATTAAATGTCATAACGTAGATTTTCATAATTCAACCAATTATCTCTTACATTGGGAAGTTTAAGATGAGTTTCCAGTTTTTTACAAATCATGAATAAGTAAGTCTATAATAACTGTTCTATTCATTCATTTGAAGGCACTTAACTTCTATATAAGATACATTTTTGGCATAGATTTGACAGGTCAACGGTAGGTACCTTCTTTCTCCATCCTTGATTATGTATTGTCAAATAAAGGTATATGTTTTCAAAGCCTGTTAAGAAATATAAAAGGGAACAAAGCTGGCTTTTCTTTGTGAAAGGCTGTTTCTGCCTTTGGGTATTCATGTGTGTTTACATGCTCAGAATGGAGACAATCTGCTCAGCTAAGAAGGCTCTGTTTTTAAATGTTAATTGGTGTACGCTAATCGGATTTTCCCAATCAATGCCAAATACAGTTCAAGCCCAGTGCTTAAGGAATTCTTACGCCCAACTTTTTGATTGCATCATATTTCCTGAGGCAATTCTAAAGGGATCAATTGTGAAAAAAGTAAGTTATAAGCAAAGGTGTTTCTGTAACTTTCAAAATCTTTGCCTTGCACTGGCTGCTTCAAAAATCAGAACTTACATTACTTTACACACCAGTTAAAGCAACACAATGATGTAATCATTAGTGTGTTTATTTCTTTTGTGAGATCAATGTTCTCTATTTCCTTTTTCAGAAGGTTACTCCAGTACAGCAACTTCCTGGGAAGATCATGCTATCTACTTTTTTGCTCTGCAAGTATTGAAATACTCTCCAGCTGAGTCCAAAATAAAACTTCAGACTCGGCCAAACACCATGCTGACCTTGAAGGCTGAAGCTGCACCATCTCATGTCAGCTGGAAGCTTGTGAGAAAGACGGTGGCAAAAAGAAGGCACCCACTTATAAAGGGTCAGATGGAAAAAGCCACGTTAGTAAGAATATTCTGCCCAGTTAAGTATTATGCCCTTGCAATACTGGACAGTCAACGAGATATAAAGACATTCTTTGGGAGACTGGATAACTGAAGGCAAAAAAGTTAAGTACAATCCTCTGAGATCCTTCATGAACTGGAATTTTAATGTCTAGGGAAACTAATTACCCATTAACTCTTATCTACTCAAACAAAACACAACTTAAAAAAAAATATTTATCCTAAAACTACTATCAGGGCAAGAACATATGAGCACAGTCCAGTTGAGTAACTCTAGCAGAGTCTATCTTGCCAGAGTAACAATGATTATCTTAGAGGGACAGATAAAATTGGAAGAGAAATCACAAGTAAACATTTACTGAACTCGACCCCCTTGAAGAAAGAGCTGCCAGATGCAGGAAACTAAAGACTATGAAGATAAAATGAAACATTTCCAAAACTTCAGGGAATCATACAATAAGAATAAAAACAAGACAATGAACCAGTTGGTTGAGGTTTCGCCCTTCGGGGGAGGGTGTGTCACAGACCCTCAGACGCCCCATCAGAATGAATCAGGACATGTTACACATTAATCTAAGGAACTCAGTTGTCCACGGTTCATCTTAATTTGGTTGAAAATCCCCCATTCCAACTCAGTTCTTGGGAAAAAGGGGAAGAGTCAGTGCCGACAGTGCAGGGTTTGTCTCGCTCATGAAGCCCTCCCCAGCAAATTCACGCAACTGAAGAGACTCTTCTGTTGTTGCCTCATAGAGGTAAATAATGTCCAAGTCTGCTTAACCCATGGGAATTCATGTCAGTGAGAACTTTCAGGCAACAAGGACAACGTTGGGGTTTCCTTGAAGATTTAGGAACTCACCTAGGGCATGGCTACAACTCCGGCAGGATTCTGTCAGGCTGACAATTATTTGCTGCAGGTCGGCTCTGGGGGGAGTGGGAGAAGGGTTGGGGTTTTTCCAGCCATTACATTTACAAGACTCCTCGGCCTAAAAAAGGAATAGAGAGAGAGACCAAGTTATGTAACAGGCAGCAACAGACTGAATGTTTTACATGAGAACCATACACACTAGTCTCCCTGCTCCTGACTTTATAATTTCCTATATATGCAGAAGAAACAAAAACAGAGAAAAGGCCAAGAGGGTGGTGTCTGATTCAGGCACTTGGGTTTCTGTTATGTTGCTTGTTCTGCGGGCTGGAATCTGAGTAATGCAGACCCACACACTTTGGTCCTGCTGCCCCCAAGTACATGTCCATGGAGAAGCAAGTCCACCCAGAAAGCTTCCCAAAACGACAAGTCAGACTCCGGAGGTCCCTGCAACACAGCCGGGGCCCAGGCCACAGGTGAGCCTTCCCAGACTGCAGTTGCAACTGTGCCCCAAAGCCCAGAAGGGAAAGCCACAGAAATGAAGAAGTTAGCAATCTTCAGGACATGAAGAGGGACACACCCAGTTGAAGCCGCACTTGCGCGGGCTCCTCCTAGTCCTTTGTGGGCTCCCAGCTTTAGAAATGGAGAGGGCCTCATCATGTAGTCTGGGATGTATACCTGTGTCTACTTCCCAAGAGTCCTGTACTGGAACGCTGTTATTTTAGCAACACTTGCTAGAGAAATCTTCCTACTTTTTCCACAAACTCTCCACACTTCCCTGCCTTTCTTAGGGAACAGCGAATATTATTTCGCCTTTGTGTGGTGACTTGGATTATGAAGTAAAGGACGAGCATAAAGATACCGATTATTTTCACTCTACCCAACTACTGCATTGCGAACAGATTCTGGGGTCATACGGATTAGATGGCTAACAAGCTTGCGCTGAGTGACTCCAGCCACTTATAATTCTTCTGCCCATTCCCTGCTGTCCCTTACCACTCAACTGCTCTCGCCATTTATTTACTGTTTCGCATCTGCTGTGGCTGGGAAACCAGAAAATGAACTGTTAGAATAACGCGTAACATAGGCTGATTCATTCGGGGTGACAGCCTTCCATACACACTGTTCAATATGTATAGGCAGCCACTAGCCACATATGGCTATTGAGTACTTGAAATGTGGCTAGTTCAAATTGAAATGTACTGTAGATATAAAATACATACCAGATTTATTAGACCAGTGCAAAAATAAAATAAAATCTCAATAATTTTTCACAATTGCATGCTGCAACGTTAGTATTTTAGCTATATGGAGTTAAATAAAAGATATTAAAATTCATTTGACCTGGGGCCGGCCGAGTGGCTCAGCTGGTTAAGAGCTCGCTTGGGACGCCAGCTCTGAGCAGCAGGGCCCCAGTTCGGATCCCACATATGAGGGCCAGTTACACTGCCCTCTACAGCTAAGATGGTGAACAACAGCTTGACTTGAAGCTGGGCTGCTGTGAGTCGCCGTCAACGGCGTAGGCTGCAGCGAGACTGCAGTGGGCTGCTGGGAGCTACATGAGTGGCTGGCAGCTGGCGTGAGCAACCGGCAGCGGGCGAGAGCTGCCATGAGCCACCATGAGCAGCTGACCAATGACCGGTGACCAATTGCCTCACCCAGGAAGAGCGCAATGATCATACCAACATGGGCCAGTGAAGTGACGTCCTCCACAATTAGACTGAAGAACAAAAGGACAGCAACTTGTCTGTTCCCCTTCCCCAATTCCCCAACGTTGTTCCCATCCCCCAATTCCCCAATAAAATCTTTAAAAAAAAAATTTCACTTGACCTGTTTCTTTTTACTTTTTTAATGTGGCTACCCCAACATTGAATTACACATATGTTTCACATTATACTTCTACTGGACAGCACTAGCCTATAAAACAAACTGCATAGATTTTTGGGCTTGGGCTTTGTGTTAGATCTTTGTTCCCTCATAGGTCTTTTCTCTCTGTGTGGCTTCCCCACGCCTACAACCCAATACCCAAGCCCCGCCATGTTCCAGGTGGCGGAAGTTAGGAGAAATCTGATTTCTAGAAAACACCAGAATGGCTGCTGCCTTGGCCTCATACAGAAAACGCTCCAAAACAGGGACAGTTTCTGAAATGTATGTACAGAAAGTAAGAGAAGAAAGAATAATTGGCAAGGCTCTTAAGAAGGGTAGAGGTGGGAGAAGAAAAATCTGTTTTGAACCTAAGTCCTTTTCAGTGGGTCCTAGGAATCTGGCAATCCCAACCTGGCTGCTTTTCACCTTTCATCACAGTGAACGTGGAGAAGACAGGACCAAAAGAGGGACCTTACATCAGCGACCACAACAGCACAACCCCTAGTGAGGAGCTCAAGTGACCCTCTTGTTTAGCCAGGCATCAGGCAGGACCTATTACCCCCTCTCCCCCCATTGTTGCTACTAAGATGAACCTTAAAAGTCCCTGCAAGGAGCCATCCCCCTCCTCTTCAGAGATTGGCAAGTTCTCAGAGGACACATTCTTGAGGAAGACTCTCAGGAGAGCTTGCACCCAAGAAAACATCCCTAAAATATTTGTAGGGATGGAGGAAGCCAGCCTCGTCGTGGGTCACTCTGCTCCTAATAGTGTTACGGCTACTTCAAGGGACTCCTAAAGCCTCCTGCTGGCTTTTCTAAGCTGTTGGTCTGATCTGGCTGCCCTCAGAAAGGCCTTTGGTTAGAGAAAGAAAGCCTAGGCATTCTATGACACAGGAAAGCACATGAATTACTATTACAATCCGGATTTACTAATCTCTTTGATATCTAGGTGGAAAGGAACACGAATGCCTTCACCAAGGCCCACCAAGAGAACACAGAGTTCTCCTTAAACCATAAAGATGCCAAGTCAAGGGTTTCATTACTTATTAAGGCACAAGATTTACTTGAGGGTTAGTGGTCAGGTGGGTAATGGCTAAAGTTCAAAGCTACACAGAATCATGTAGTTTAGGAGTCTGTCCTCATCTGCCTCAGTAACTACTTTAGCTTTTGACAAACATGATGGATTTTGCATCTGGGCATATTAGCGGCCACAGCTTAAGTCTCCTGTGGCAGGCTGTCTCTAGGCAGGAAGTAAAACCATCAGGAACTCTGTATGGACCAGAATAAAACCAACCACAGCTAGCATTGGAACTCCAGTTTCTCAGAGAGGCAGTGACCTAGTTAAGTATGAAGTTCCTTCATTACAGGGAAGCGGGAGAAACCAGCTTACTCTGAATCAATCCGAAAGCTGACCTATATACTATTCTTCTACAGGAATGACCATCAACCTTGAGAAAACACCATTTCTGGTTCAAAGGAATTCATCCACAGCTAAGAAATCTCTCAGTACTGTGCTTGGTTGGGGTTGGGGCTGATACCTATGGGATCAAACCACTGCTTTTCACACAAGACAGTGTTAGGACTGTATCATCTCAGAAGACAATGCTAATGGGGAGTGTTTTCTCTGCCTTTGGAGGGTGGGTGGGAAGAACGCATAGGGAGGAAAAAGAGAAGGATAAACAAAACATGAACCTCTCCTGCTCTCTCATGCACCTCTCATCTCATCTATTTACGTATTCTTCAAACACTAACTGAGCACCTACTACATGTCAATCACAGGACCAGGTACTGAGGACACAAGACATCTCTGCGGAAATAAAAATCTACCCCAGTGGTTCTCAACCTTAGAGACACACAGGAATTATGGGGGAGCTCGTTAAAGCTCAATACCCACACCTGACCCCAGGCCAATTAAATCAGAATCTCTAGGGGCAGGTCACAGGCATCAGTTTTTTGGTTTTGTTTTAAGTTAGTGATTCCAATGTGTAGCCAAGGTTGTGCATCTCTGATCTAAAAGAAAAGGATACTAGTAATGGATGCATTTTAAAAAAAAACAATGTGCTGGATCATATGGTAGTTCTATTCTTAATATTTTGAGGAAACCTCCATACTGTTTTCCATAGTGGCTGCACCAATTTACAATCCCACCAACAGTATGCGAGGACTCCCTTTTCTTACAGCCTCTCCAATGCTTGTTTTTTCTTTTGTTTTTGATAATAGCCACTCTTAACAAATGTGAGGTGACAGCTCGCTGTGGCTTTGATTTGCATTTCCCTAATAATTAAAGATGTTGAGCATCTTTTCATGTGCCTTTTGGCCATCTGTATGTCTTCCTTGGAAAAATGTCTATTTAGATCCTCTGCCCATTTTTTAATCAAGTTGTTTGTTTTTTGTTGTTGAGTTGTATGAGTTTTTTTTTTATATATTTTGGATACTAGCCCTTATTGGAAATATCATTTGCAAATATCTTTTCCCATTTGGGTGGTTGCCGTTTTGTTTTATTTTCCACTTCTGGGTATTTATCCAAAGAATATGAAAACACTAATTCAAAACGGTATGCATCCCTACATTCACCGCAGCATTATTTACAACAGCCGAGATATGGAAAGAACCTAAGTGTCCATCAACTGATGAATAAATAAGATGTAGTATAGACAGGCAATGGAATACTATTTGGCCATAAAAAAGATGAAATATTGCCATTTGGAACAATATGGATGAACTGAGGGTATTATGCTAAGTAAAATAAATCAGGCAGAAAAGGATAAAAATCATATGATTTTTTCACTCATATGTGGAATATAAACCAAACAAAAAGAAACAAAACAAAAATAAACTTATGGACAGGGACAAGAGATTGCTGGTTACCAGAGGGGAAGGGGGTGGACGGAGGACAAAACGCGTAAAGGGAGTCAAATGTATGGTGGTGGGCGGAAACTATAGACTTTTGGTGGTGAGCCCACTATAGTGTATACAGATACAAATTACAGAGTTGTAACCTGCAACTTACACAATGTTATAAACCAATATTATCTCAATTAAAAAAACACAACAAATGCTCACAAGGGCATGTCAGGGAGATCTAAACAGATGAAGGGAACTTCAAGGGTCATGAGAGATGGGAAGAGCAGTTCATTTCAGAAGGAAGTGGTATGTGCATACTTTGAACACACCTCTTCCCACTTGCCTCGCGTACAGTTAAATATGTAGGCACGTGCTTCCTTTAGAACGTTTTTATGCGATGAGACCAGTGATGCT